CGGGAGGGACGGCGAGTATGTCTCTATTTTGACACGTCCTCGCTGAATGAAGAGGAGAACAAGCAGAAAATGGCTGATGATAAATGCGGCAATTAGGGAAGCTTAATGGAGCAGAAGGTTTTTTGTGAGAAGACAAAGAAATTGCCGTGCCGACACCTGCGAGGAGGTCCCAGTGGCTTGGGAGGCCCCCGGCTGTGCCGCAGCGGCAGGGGCTGGCCGAGGGGAGACGACCCTTTTCCTTCACGCACACATCCCTCAAAGGCCTTGGAAAAAGGTTTTCCAAGTTAAACTTGAAAACACCACTTGATTTTTCTTTTACCCCATTATGTTCAGAAACGGTAGCCTGTAATTTCAGGCCGGCTGCAGCCCTCCCCTGCTCCCTGCCTTTTATTCCGTTACACGTAATACCGTGCGCTACTGGGAACGGCGTTTTCCCGACAAAATACTGATCTCAATGGTGTGAAAGGGCTGCGGCCTCAGCTGGGGGATGCCGTCGTGCCAGATGTGGGTGGACATGAGGGGTCTCCCCCTTCTGCTGCTGCACCTGCAGCGACGCCCCGCTGAGGGCTGAGTCCATGATCTGCTGCGCTCTTCCCCCAAAGCACCACACTCCCGAGCTAAGCCCTGGGCTACCAGCTCCTCAGGATTTGAGTGGAAGTGCTGTATTTGTTTGCCAAAGCCCCATTTCTGTTTGTTTCCTTGATTAGACTCTTCCCAAAGCTTGTGCAAAGGGACACCAAGAAGCATTGGGGAAGGCTCCATCTGGGGGTGTGCAGGGAAGCCCAGGTTTCAGTGACGGGCAATGCCATTTTGGTCTGTCACAAGACCAGTACCAGAATCCCCCCAAAACTGCAACGCAGCTATTTTCCTAAGGCTTTGGCAAAAAAGGAATTTTCTGAAGGAGCTAAGGGTTTCCTTTTTTTTTCTTGGTACAAGCCAAAGAAAACACAAACCCTATTTTCCCTCCATTGAGGGCTCCTCGGCTCAAGCGCGAGCTGCGCGTACCAGCGACTTGCCTCTCCTCGTTCGGTGGTTTAGCCTGGAGCAAAGCTGCTGCATCTTGCTCTTGCCCAGGCTCTCGGGATATGGCATTTCTCTCTAGCCGGCTTCTTGTGCTCGCTGGACCCGGGCGATGCCGGCGTTGCAGATGTGGTGACAGCTCAGGCTGCTGCGGAGGCCTTGGGTTCCTCCACATCAGCCCTTTGTTCGGCTGCTTGGAGTCACCAGTAACTAACTTTAAATATATACGGTGTCTATAAAGGCTGGAATGGACAACTCCCCTATGCTTCTTCTATGCAATAAAGCTTGCTTCTTAGGGAAGTACTAGAACTTTTTGTCAAAAAAACAGTTAATATTTTTGACAAGTGATCTGAGGATTGATTACGGCTTTACAGATTGGCTTTTTCCTGTGCCCCTTACTCTCCTGGCAATTTATCTAGTTTATTGACCAGTCCAAGACTGGCCCCTGCTAACTGAAGAGGGTGGACACCAAATCTCATTCCACTGAGCCGCAGTGGCGCGTGGCGTCCTGTTTCTGAGAAAAGGCATTGCAAGTGCAAGAGCTGGTTTCCCTCCTAATGCTTTCTCAAGCATCTTTGTGAACAAAAACAGGCTGCCTGAGGCAAGCAATGAACCTTACACATCCCATCCTCTTCCTCCCACCCACTGCCATTTGTTTGCTAAATCCCACCCTTTGTCGGTGACTGAGGGAAGTCGCTAAGGAGACGGACGAAAGGAGAATAAAAATGGTAAAAAATGCACAAAATGAAAGCTCGACAGTGGTAGAAATGCATAAAGCCCAGGAAGTCCCTCTGTAACGGTTCTTTTTAGCAGAAGGTGGCTCAGCTCAGCTGGGGTGGCTTAAAGGAATAAGGCTGAATTAATTAGTTTCTCTGTTTAGGTAATAATACCATTAATCACGACAAACCATTTCATGAGAAAGCTGATATTCGGCACTGCGTAATTCCGCAGGAATCCCACTGTAGTGCAGCATTATTGATGGGTCATCCTCCGAAAGCCTAAGAGCAATGCCTCCCAATACACTAAATGGCAAACCGCTGATTTTCTTTTAATATTCAGGCTGCCACAACATCAGTCATGACGAAT